TTTTAATAATCAATAATCGCATACACTTGAATTTTTTTAACAGTATTTACGTCAGCAGTATTTTAAGTGTTTAAATCTGATTAGAAGCGGTTATTACTTATTTAATTATAATTTTTTGATTATACTTGACATCGCGTGCTGCAGTCCAATTCATATAAAAAAAATGAAAAATGCCCGAGATTATTCAAAAACCAATTTRATTTTAAATTCTGAATATAATATGTATAGGAATAGGTAGGTAACATTATATATTAATTATATGGCGATTTTAAGTTRGCATATATAAGGTTTTTTCATGTAAATTATTCTGTAGCGTTAAAAATTCTCAGTAATTAAAGAATTTTATTTTCAAGAATAATATACGAAATTCTCTAAGAATATAAAAAGTCTTTTTTTTATAATACTAGATTATTGTCTAAAATAACTGACTAAATATTTACTATTATGACTAATAAGGTGGGTGATCTTAGTTATAATGTAATATAATGTTGTTATAACGTATAAGTATTGGGTTTGGTTCTTTTTCTTTTATAATTTATAAACTAGAGTTACTACTTACTGGTAATATTTCCTAACATGACTATTTTTCGTTTCAAGTTCTTATTTTACTATGATGATGTAACATTTTRGCGTCAACTCTTCTAGTTGCTTATCAACGTTATATTAAATTTACTAGATACAGTTGGTTTTACTAAAATAGGTATATTGGTTTTGTTATTATTTAATTATGATTTTTTTTTTCATATTTAAAAGTGCAAAACAGATAATAGTGTAAATATTATAGCTATATTTTGACGAAGAAGGGAATATGGTACGATTTGGTGGAAAAGAAATCGAACAATTTAAAATTTGGTGGAATCACGAAAACCGGTAACTCTCAWATAAAAGTAGTTAAATATTTTACTAAAAAAAATTAAATTTGTAAGATCATGGATGAGTTCAGAGGTGAATCTGACCTCAGTATACACCCATCAAGTGATACTCGTATAGCTGTAACTGAGTCCGGTAAATATTTTTATTTTGTATGCTTACAGTTTTACCGATATCAGACATAAAATTTATATATTTATAATTTTAATTAGGCTAATAAACTTTAATAATATTTTGTTATTATATTATTTATAGATAGGTTTTATAGTAGGTACCTATACTTTATCGTAATACTTTTATTAGAAAATATTCTTCAAGAATGATATGACATTATTTCAGAACTATTCTCYTCTTAAAATTGTACTGTAATTGAAGTATAAACTGTTTTATTTTAACTAAGATACCTACAGTAAAAATTTTCTGTATTGTCCTCTAGATCGACAGACTGCAGTATACTTGCCCTTAAGATATGGCCATATGGGTATCACGTTCTCTTAATTAATAGCTTATGGTTTCTAACTGTAACTTTAAGCATTACTTATAMTAATGCGCCTGAAATTATGACATCAATTAAGKCGCTGAAAAGATACTAAAAGTGCAATAAAAATTATAATTTATTATTTAATCTAATTTGTAATAGGTAACATAACAATTGCAATTTTTTACCTATATTATATTATCATACCTACCTATAGACACCTAAAAGTATAATATATATATCAAACTATGTATAGATACAATCTAGTCAATCTACAATATTCTAGTCTTCGTATGTCTCTTCGTAGTTCTTGTAGGCTAAACGTAACTTTTATTAGTAAAATGATCAATGAAGTGTTTATATAGAAATATATAAAATAGATCTTATCGAATTTAAATTAGTTTAACAATTGTAACCAGTTGAGGTAAACAATAAACCTATATTATAGCTGCAACAGTTTCTTTAATACATTTGGAAAAAAGGCCTTAGTAAATCACTAGATTATTAGGAACTTCTTTAGATAATATTTTTTATTACAGATTATAATCATTACTTAATTTGAACAGTTTATTGGCTACTTAATCATGTGAAGGCACCGCAGAATGGTAAGACGGACGTAGATATTATGTGATAATTTTGTATTATTGAACTACAGAATGAGAATGTTACGCTAACAATTAATCTGTTTTATTCGAGATGAGTAGCACTATAGGCACACAATTTGGTAGGTATAATATGTACAGTCTTTACGACAATATTTGAATATAAATAAAGCGCATTTATTAAGTACCTATACGTAATTAACGATACAGTATTACTAATTACTATAAGAATTTAGTACTATAATATGCTAATATGAATTAAAAATAATTCAAAACATAAGTTCTTGATAACGTAAAAAATGACAGTATGCGGTTATTTGATTAGCAGTCATACATTATAGTTATATTACTCAATATATAATATTTATATAAATAATCTACATATCAATGTACCTAACAAAATTATTATGTATATAATATGGTAGATAAGCATTGTTGAGTATCTTATAAACGTTGTATAATTATCAGGTAGGTACTATATTTATCATGAGTTTTTTCAACTAAAATTAATCAGTTAGATATAAATTACTACTTTCGATGTATTATATCCAAACTGTTATATTATGTGTATGCAGATTAAATTGAGAATGCAAAACTTATAGGGATATATTGTTTAWGTGAGTAAAATATGAGTTAATTTAAAATATTAAATGTACCTATCATAGTGTATACCTAATAATTATCAGTCACCATGGTGTTGGTCTGGCTCACGATTTATTCCAGTACAATAATTTTCAACGGGATCCAGGTTAAATCATAACTATAGGGCTATAGGGTTCAGWGCTTGATGAATTGAAGATTAAAGACCAAACTGTTTTATATTATAAATATATGCATACTTAAATACTACAATACATTTTAAATTCATTTATTTATATTGGAAATGCCTTATTGTTGTACATAATATAATTATGTTTAAAGAATGTCTAATACGTCGATTACGTCTGATAAGTGCATATTAGGCATGTTGTAATATTAAAATACTATATACCTACGTTACGTACTAACTACAAAAAATATAAAAATTAAAAACCTATTAATATAATGTGATATAGGTATATCATAAAATTAACTACAATATACGTAATAAACACACATTATCAGTAGGTATAATATAAAAATAGAGAAACTTTCTGCGGGTGAAATAGGTAAGACATATTAATAT